CCTAACCCTAACCCTAACCCTAACCCTAACCCTAACCCTAACCCTAACCCTAACCCTAACCCTAACCCTAACCCTAACCCTAACCCTAACCCTAACCCTAACCCTAACCCTAACCCTAACCCTAACCCTAACTCTCCGGCGGTGATGCAGGCTCGAACCGGCCGAAAGGATTAACTCTCTCCCTCTTTGGTGTTTTCGTAATGATCAGTCTCTGTTTCGCCTTTAGTTTCCGCTTCTCCTCTTCCACCTTCTTGATTTCTCGCATTTTCTTCCCATCCCTCCCCCTCCCCTCCTCCGTCCACCTCCTCCATCCCTGTTCCAAATCCTCATTGTCCCTGGGCGCAAACGGCGTCCACTTGATCTGTGCATGCGGGATATCTTTCAGTGATGGTGGTTGGCTGGTTGGGTAGGGTGCCAGGGGGTCATTGAGGTCGAGGGGGGAGCAGTGGAACCACCATTGGCATGGGGGAGGGATGTCGGAGGGGTCGGTTAGGGTTGAGAGGACGCTTTGGTCTTGATCGAAGTGATCCATGGCTATGGTGGGATTTGTTTGTTTGGAGTTTTTGTTTGCTTAAGGGTTCTTGCGGGATGCAGCCAACGTCACCTTGCATACTGCTGGTTGCAAAATGCCTGTCGCAAACTGCAGGTAGCTGCACATGCTCCGTAAGTCCTCACCGTAAAATCAACAGAACAACTCCATTGAAGGCCTAGGAAGGTCGCAAACGGTTCGAAATGTTCGGGGAAATATGCGACAATAGCACACGGTCCAGAGTTATCGAGAACTACATCGAGGGCCTTGATGTTCACTAACTCAGTGAGATCATCAACCGATCGGTACGAACCATTTACAGGATTGTCAAGAGATTCGAGGAGGAAGGCACCCATGAGCGCCTCCCTACCACGAACTGTGGTAGGACGCCTCAGATTGACACCCGCATAGGCATGGTAAGTGAGCTGCCCCATCGAGGACCTTGACTTAAACGCTGGGCATGACAGCATATCAAGGCCCTGTATGATCTGAACCCTACCCTATACCAGGATGATTGCGCAGAGTTTATGAACCAGGAATTTGCAACTTCACTATCGAAGTACCATGTCTGTCGATACCTTACAAAAGATTGGATATACTCGAAAAACTCTCACCCTAAGGGCAGCTGAACGGAACGGCATTTTACGTGCGCAACACGCGATAGCAATGGCTGAATACAGTCAAGAACAACTGGTCTTTCTCGATGAGTCTGCTGTCGATGAGAGGACTGCTACCCGCAAATTTGGTTATGCGCCAGTCGGTACTTGGGCGACTGAGGAGAGACCGTTTGCTCGAACCAAACGTGGGAGTGTATTGCCTGCACTTACCTCGACAGGGCTCCATGCTTTATCGGTCTTTCAGGGATCCTTTAATGCTGATCGATTTGTCGAATTTGTCGAACATGAACTGCTACCAATTCTCAACTCCTGCCCTGGTCCGAACAGCTTGGTTGTCCTTGACAACTGCCGTATCCATCATGACGATAGGGTATATGAACTCATTGTTCAACGCGCTGGATGTCGACTCCATTTTTTGCCGCCTTACTCACCAGACCTCAATCCAATCGAGCTATGCTTTAGTATGATGAAGAGCTGGATGAAGCGCAACAACAAGCATGAGTTAGCTCGATCAGACCCTGAGGGATTCATACGCTGCGCAATCGACTCGATCAATGAGCACCCTGACAAGATCCGCAACTTGTTCACGGGCTGCGGTTATGCATTGTCAGATGCAGAGTTACGTCGGTATGTCGAGGTTAACAACCAGGCTACTATTGATGCTAGGGCAACTATGTAGTCACTTTTTTCTAGCTTGTATGAGTAGGTTTTTCGATCGAAGCAATACATTCGTTTATTTTCAGTAACCTGCCATTCTCACGGGCAGATTCCCTCACAAAATGGCTGTACGTATGCCCAAATGCAATGCATGAAGACGTGGTCTTCAGTAACCACCGACTCTAGTTGCAGCAAATTGCATACTACTTGACACCAGGGGTGGCGAGTACGGTAGCGATTGAAGTAAGGTGTTGAGCTTTGTAAGGTCATTGTGAAAGAACTAAGCATGCTATCGAGAAAAGAAGAATACCACATAAAAGAGCAGAACTAATAGATACTTTCTGACTCATCGGGAACCTCGTAAACCTCGAAGGGTCTTGCTTCCAGTCGTTTAGCGTTGGAATCCTTCTCCCGCATAATACCTTTCCATACTGGCCAGCAATTCTTCATGAGCATGACCCAGCCCTTCTTAACAGGTGGTAGACCATCATCCGGCATCTTTTTGAGGTCGTCGAGGCGAATGCCGTGGTCAACCACTGCATCCCTGACTACGTCAATATTGAAGTTGGTGTAGGCAGGGGCATGTCGCCCAACATACTCCAAGAATCCATCCAAATCATCTCCTGCTGGT